ACCAACTTGTGAATGTTTGAGCTGGTGACACCAACCCGTCGTCAGACGAAATAAAAAGGAGGGGAGAAAGTAAGAATGTCACCCTATAGAGTTTAAGGTGAAAGGTTATTGGCGTGTGAAAGCGTGAGTCATATTTTGTTTGCAAGCGAGGTGGTGCGGAAAAACTACGACGCTCTGTGCTGGACGGGGAAATGGTGGGTCGGTTGATTTCCGGATGACTGGATCAGCAGTCAGGACAGGGGACGGTAATTCGTGAATTTAGGCCATCGTATTGGGCGTTCAATTCAAGGTTGTGGTTGATACTACTCGCACTAGAATACTAAGCCCCGATAAATTCTCGCGCTCTTTTTGTGTTTATCATGGCGACGACCTCAGTGTCATCCCAATTAAACCTGTGGTCGTATTTGATTACGTGCACAAAGACGAGAGACAGGTGTTTCCGGCAACCGACAGCTAGCTTATGTTCTTCGATGCGGGTCTCGAAGAGTCGACTTGTGAGAAACTCATAAACGCAAGAGCAATTTGTGCATGGTATTCGAGCGAACATATTTAATTGTTGCTCCTTTGGGATGGAATCCTTTATACAGTGAACATTTCAAACACTTCTGTCCTTGTGGGGAATTAATTACTCAAACTATTGCATGCATCGGCATTTTAGGTTGAAGGGTACCCAACATGAAATACAAGGTTTATGTCTTGAGGATTCTATCTGGGAGCCCTTGCGTTTGCAAATTTCGGCACTTGCATGGAATAAGTAAAGCAGTCTTTCTCATGCAGTGTGCAAGTGATGATACCGCGGAGAGTTTGACGGAGAAATGAGATTTATGAGTGTCCTCAGAGCAAAGAGGCTACTGCTAAATTAAGTCAGCTTAACTATTACAATAGCTGTGCTATTTCACGAACTTTTAATTGAAATTCTAAAAAGCGTTTTCGCCTAGGAACAACTATCTTATTAGATACTTCATACTAATGAGTGTGCAGATCAAAATACTGGCTTTTTCGCAAGCTCCTTTTCTACTGCCTTCAAGAAGTACACTATACAAAAATGACCACTTCGATGGTATCCATTTTGCTATCTCCAATGCCATCATAAATTAAAAGTTATTTTATCGAAACCGTGCATGACAATATTCCTCCTTTCACCGATATAGTAGCAAATGATGTCGTCTTTAACCATCATGTCTGAAAAAAAGTAATTTTCCAAATTAAAATTGCATATTTACGATATTATCAAGGAACGGTCAATGTGCATCTATGACCAATCGCAACTTTTTTAAATACTGGTTGTAAAGTAAACTTCAAGATCCATCTTCATTGCAACATGTTACGAGTCATAGTTTATCTCTCCTTAATGAAATACACGCGTTTACGATTTATAATACATGGAATACATATATAAAGCTTGTAGTTTGAAACCTAGTGTAAAAACTGTTTGGGCTCAAACTATTCAGAAACTTAGAAAGCCTATCAAGATCTTAAGAGACAGTTTCTTCGCGTAGGGAGTTTTATGCTGGTATAATCTGTTACCACAAGGTACAATAAAGAATATATTTTATAAATGATTTCCATGAAATATATGTGAATTAATACGGGCACTTAAAAGCAATGGTTAAAAATGCGTGCCACCTAAGTAGTCATTTTTACGTGGTATAATTTTTCAAGACAGCAGAAATTTTTTTTTGATCCAAAGCCCGCACTCTGGCAGGATTGAAATATATTGGCATTATTCTGTGAGACTACTAACATAAGAAGACTAATCAATTAATATTTTCTTATTGAAGGAAAATTTCAGAATCGATCAGGGCCTCGTGCTACACGTTTAATGAAAAAGCATATTTGCTCTAGTATTTTAATCACATGGCTCGGTGGAAAAATCCAACATCCTCTTAAAGGGAGCATAGCCAATTCTCCTGCTTACTTTCACTGGTTCTGTAAGCATTCCGGGTGCTTTTCGTAATTTTTTAACGCAAGAGCAAAGTTAAACCAGATGTGTTTTTTTAAAGAAATAAACTGTTATAAATGGTTGAGAAAAACCGCTTTGATTTGTACATAATGAGTATGAACATTGTGAATACGTTTGTCCAAAATCTCAAAATTCTATCAGACAAAAGGCTGTAAAAATGAATCACCGTTTTTAATCATATTGTGGCGGGCCACTTAATAGACGTGTCTCTTCATATAATTATTATGCAAATTGCGGTAGCGTTGCAATAAGAATTCGGCAACGATAAGCTTACGAAACGTGGACACGCGAAGTCAGGTATAAACTCAATAGCATAAAATAATTGGCGCATGCATGCTTAAATTCTGAAAAAGTGTACAGCAGCTATCGGAAAGCCCATTTACAGGCCCAGAAAAAAACTTTTTGTGAGCATAACTGTGTCTCGAAGTAGGGGGAATAATGATTTGCTTATTCTTACCTGCAAAAAGGTACATCCTTTTTCACGCATTCGGTAAATACCCTCATTCTAAACACATGCATTCTACAACCTAGCCGTTTGAGAATTTCGCGAACTGATTAAATGCAATTTCTTTTTCTCTTCTATAAAGCAGTGATATAAATGGCGAACACATAGACATTAAACATTAATTAGCATACAACAGTATCATTTTAGTCGAAGTTTTGAAGGTGTTTAAAATGCGATATCTTCTTTTAAATAACATTTAGACGGCTAACGGACGCTCTATGTCTATTTTAAAATATCTTGAAGCAATAGCAATATGGCAAAGAACTAAACATAAAGGGTTAATTTATATTCCAGTTTTAGGAAAGATAGTCCAAAATGTTTAGTCTCTGTCAGATTATGTTTACTTTCCACTCCAAGCAAGTTCCCAGCTATACCTAGATGCACACATATCGGTAAGTTCACGATTTTAATGGAAATCGACTTCGTTTATTCCATACCCATTCAAAGCCATTATTTGATATGAATCACTTGCTTTTTGATTCGGTATCCTTTTTTATCAATGAAACTATAATTATTGGGATGCCGATGGTTTATTGTATGAGGGAAATAAAAGTCTGGTCTGCAAATGCTTCCAGGGCAAAAAAGTAATACATTTAATGTCACCTACAAATATGTTTTTTATAGCATTTAGTAGGCTTGCACCAAGATACTCTTAAAAATTATATTCTCTCTACTTAGGAAATCAAAAAACACTTTTACTTGTTCCGAAAACTAATTCGTATTGCTTTCTGTGATGATAATTTGCAGCAGCAATATTGCTCTTAGGCACGCAAATATTTTTTTAAGAACGAAACTATAGCAGCATTCTAACCTCTCGACAGTTTGGATGATAGAGTATAACCCTGCATTCGCTCCTAAAAAATATCTGAGGGCATTTATAATTTTGCAGTAAGCTTCGTTTAATCCTTTTTTACGAAAGACATAGGCATCGTATAATAGTTCGCTCATCAGATCTTGAGATGTAAATCATCGTCCCGGGGACTATTTGTGTTTTTCACAGCGCTGGTCTTGAGTTCTCAAATTATATGGACAAATACACGAAGAGGAAGACAGTGAAAATTGCTAGATATTTATTTTACTTGTTTATGCACCAGCTGTTTCTTATAACGCTTCAATTATCTGAAAATGTAGATGGACAGGAAATTTTTTTCATTTTTTCGCGAAGCAAAGGCTGAGCGTCTAGAGTTTCGGAAAAAATAATTAAATGACTAATACTGGGTTTGAAAAGCATCACATGTGGAGTAAATGGTGAGGAGTTAGTCAATCTTTCTTATGCGTTCTATCGGACATACCAGTTAACAGTGAGGTAATTTGCGCAATATGCTGCCGCAACTGAGAGCATTCTCAGCGCAGAAGTTTTGTTTACCTTTCGTGCATAAAGACTATTTGTAGACTGACCAAACGTATCACACATCAACGTTCGCGTCTTTTCCCAACTGGAACATGCCAGCGTCCGTTTCCTTCAGATAAAGGGCCGCGAGGTTGAATTAATTTGCCTCATATGACCTGAAGGAATAATCCGATCTCGGCAACAGCAAATCGCAAAAAGTTGCCTTAAAGAATGAAGCCTAACGGCAAAAACTGGACTCCAAAATGCCAAAGACTTAAATGGTCACAAGGAGGGTAATTATTTGCACAACGGTAACGGCAAAAATTAAATAATTATTTCCGAAAATTGGCGAGTCAAATATGTTGTTAAATATTCCAAGAACCGTGTGGTGTTTAGTATTTAGAAGCAGCAGCACCATAACCGGTGTTCATTCCTGAACGACTACTTTGATTTTGGCTTTTGGTAATTGAAGAAAAAGTGGCGTGAGCAGACCTCAGATTTTATTTTTATTTGGATGAAACTTTATAATGGCCATTCTGCAAGTATTCAGTTATGAGATATCACATAGGATCAGTTGCTTACTCAGTTTGGAAGTTGCCGATCAGCAATCGATTGTTGACGTTTTCTGTTTGCTTAAGTTAGGCCTTATTGTTTTTTGGCCTTCGAAATATTACTCATTTTTAATTTTTAAATTTACTTGCTTTTCATGATTTGAAAAATAAATCCCTTTCAAATAAATACATACTATGCCAGGAAATGTACGCAAAATGTACCTTGTGTATTACCCATTCCGGTGTAGTACTTGCTGGAAAGCGGATTCTGAAACATTCGTTCTTTTTTCTTACGAATTAGGAACTTTAAATTAACCCCCTAACGTTAATGCATTCAGAGCTTTTGTATTTTTACAGATTCCGCGATTTTTTCTTTTCAAGAAATGGTGAGACACCAAAAAATTAATGTTAATATGTCAAATAAAAGTAAGCCAACTATTTTTCTATGTGCCAGGTTTTAACCTTATCCCCTAAGCGTAGACTTCCGAAATTTTCCTTCCTGGAGACCATAAAAGTATACTTGTTGTAATTTGCATAAACATTGCAAAACAGAAAAACCACTTGCAGCAGGCCAAATTTTATAATTATAAGCAATAAGAAGGAATGAGTACACACAAAGGAACAAACTGTTTGTCTGATGATAGTCACCATTCACTTTTTCTTTTTATCATATGTGCCCATCTCCTTATAGGCGTTCACATAACCCTCCTTTGCTTTTTCACTGATTTGTTCTTCTCGACCAGCGATCCCTTTCCCTTTTCCAGTTTCCATGTCGAAGCGTTCCTTGTGTGACCCAGTGTATCCAGTGTGATCCGTCAGTCTTGCCGTTGCAGAGTCCTTGCTGACAGACGTGGTTGCGTGACCGACAGGAGAACCATTTGCAATCTTCGACTTTATTTCATTCACCGCTTCCTCGTGTGTCATTTTCTTTGCTTTCATGTATGCGGCAGCGAAGTGACCCTCTATGAAATTGCAAAAGCCGTCGTAATCCACGTCTTTTTTTGCATTTCCTATTTGCTTTCGAAACTCGATGTCAACGCCATTCGCGTCAAGACCTTTACAGTAAAGCCTGCAATCAGTGCATATTCGTTTAAGCGTTTTGTCCGTGCAAGTCGTAGAACCCTTTTTGACGGCATCGCAAAAAGTTAAAAATGAAGTCTTCAAATCAGCCATCGCCTGCGGAGAATATACGAAACCGTAGAAATATTCCAAGGTTAGTGTTTAAGGTTATTGACACAGTAAAACAAGCAAAATATATATTGCTGTTAGATGACGTGTAAGTTAACTTCTACTTACCTGAAATGCATCGGTTCCGTTTTTTACTTGCTATTTATTGCTCATATAGGATGACTGCGTTTAAAAGTAGGCGGATTCACCTCTTTCTTTATGCACTGAGATTTCTTACTTGAAGATGCTCTGTGAGGATATATGTAAGTATGCGCCAAAGGGTGCAATAGTTAACCGCCCGGAAAAGGCTGGGGGTTGATAAATAACGTGTCTCCCTAGCAAGATGGCTAAATTTTGACAGATGCAATGTTCTACCAAGTCATAGTACAAGTTTATGGAATAAGGACCTCAAGCAAAAAGACAAGCACAATTACATATTAAATGCCCAAACAAAAAACAAACGTAAATTTGGTGGCGATGGTATATACCCTGTATTTGGTTCAGCAAGAAATTAAAGCACTCCTTAAACCAGTGTTATGTCTTTGAATGTAAGTGCGAAGAAAATCGAACGCAAACTTTCATTAAATTGATCAGCACCTTTGAGAAATATATGGTTTTGGATTCAGCACCTTAGATTTGATGCAAATAGCAGAATTAGTAGCAGTAGCAAGAAAGTACGGCCTTTTTTATTGCTGAATTTGGCTCTGAGATTCACCCTCTAGATGTTGTTAGCCAGCGTCCCCCTTATCGGAGACAGTTTCGGTTACACTTGACTTTTCGTATGGTAACCTTATTCTGGATTCAAATGACTCTGCATCAAACCTACCTGCTTCCCATTCCAGTCTAATAGATATAGTGGTAGGGGCGTAATCTGTATCTCAGGTACACGCTCAGTATAATTTCACTGAACGCGAGATCAGTCGCGAATAAGGTGACACAGCTTAGAACTGTAGTCTTCGAGCTTGGTCCAACTTTGCTGCCCATAGCTGAATCGAAGGCCCACTCTCCACGCACGCTATAGGTAATTTATTTTCTACCAACAAAATCACGCATAATGGTGGATGCCTTCTCTATATTAGGACATCTATTGCATAGTTCCTTATAATCTGAAAATTTCTTCGTTTTCCAGTTGCTTCAGCCATCCTCCAACACAATAAGAAAGCGGTAATGGACTGTGACTATAAATCTAAATCGCGAGCGCTTCGAAATCGACCTTTATTTCCGACCTCTAAGGGACTTAAAATTTCTTTGAGATCAGGGCTATTAGAAGACTTTACAGCCTGTCAGGACTAGGAACTAACCTCGACCGACAAATATCGTACCCTTCAGAAGTCTACAAACGGATTAGGCTGACTCCTGCAAAAGTTTGGCTTCATCGAACTCTATCCTTCGCCGTTCTGCTGTTTCTACGCCAAGGAAGCCTATCCTATCGCCGAACAATAGAGCTAGAACTATTACAAAGGCTGAGTCGTTCTTGATAACATAGATATTCGTTGTACTATCGTGTCAAAGCTATCGTCAAAATTAGGCTTTTGGGGAATTTTCTCAGCTATCATTCCACTTCTATCGGTTATAGTGCAGACTTTTATCTAAATGCCTTCGCATAAAGTCGCTAAAGGCTCGAAAATTGTAAGC